CAGTGTCTGGATTTAAGTATGAGGATAACCCGACCATAGGCAATGGCATGCAGAAGCTTCCAGACCCAAAGTGTTGGGATTCCCCAGGTCATGACAGCAGCCATGCTACAGGTCTCACACTGAGGTGCCTGAAACTGTTGGTGATTGAGGGCTGGCAGCTTTGACACTTTCATTTAACAGGGTCTGCAGTTTCTCCTCAGGGTCTTTGTGGCGTCCTAGCCTTTCACCTTAGCTCTTTGACCTTAACTCTTTGCCCCTCCCTCCTTCTCTTTTCATCTACATCACCTCATCTTCCTGCCCTGGTCATTGTTCCAATGTCTCTCGTCATAGCTCCTGCTTAGCCTGCTACCACACCTCCTGTGCGCTACCCCTTCTGAGATTATGAAAACAAGACACTCTCCAGTGCACCTCCCCCTGCTGGCCCACTCTCTATGGGTCAGCCTCTTCTATGGCTGTCAAAGGTCTACTTACTGCCTGAGCTGGGGGGTGAATGGTTCTAGTGTTTACTGATTCCACGGGGTTGAATCTACAGTCTGAAACTATAGACCTGCTGACTTTGTCTGCAGGGACCTCCCCAGAACTGGAATAGTCACAGTATCTTTTCCTTTGACTGTGACCTTTTAACTGTTAAAGCCCTCTGATTTCTGAGGAGTTCACTCCAGAAACTCATCCTTATCCTTAAAGCTTTTAAATTACCCCCCAAGGAAGCACACTGAGATAGTTAATATTACCTACTACATGGTTAAAAAGTAGTTTCAGGAACTGGTGAGATGGCTCAGACAGTAAAGGTACTTGCACCAGGCCTGATGAATTGAGTTCCATTCCCCTGGACCCATATGGTTCTGTGACCTCCATACATGTAGCTGAACCACAAGCAACCACACACACACACACACACACACACACACACACACACACACACACACACACAGTGATGTAATAAAACAGCTTTTGATAGAATCCAGCTATGCCTCTCCCTCTATTCAAAGTAACACAACTGACCCAAGAGACTCCGCTTAGAAGCCATCGTTAGAGCAGCAAGAGACTTAAGATGGGTCCCAAAATGAATGTACAGAAGCCAATCATTTCCATGTCAAAGTAATAAGAGAATAAAATAGTAACTGAAAATCCATCACAGTGGCAAAAGATAATGTAAAATGCCTATGCCAATTTACTTGATAAGACAATAGGATGTAAATGAAGAAACACCATTGTGAAACCCCATCAAAGAACTTAAATCAAGATGAATTTTGAATAAATAGTATGCCAGATGGTGTCTGTTGTTGGGATAGCCCTGTGTAACTTAGATGGTCCCAAATCTCTGAGATTTGCTGGCTCAATTATTTCTTTGATAGCTTCCTAATTGCTCTATTTCTTATATTAGGGGACATCGCTTGCTTCTTCAAAAACCCATCAGCATTTTTAGAGACGACCATGGGGCTTATGTTCCCCTTGATTAAAGTTACCACAATTATTTTCTGTTCTCTTATTCCTTGATCATCTACATATTCGCTCACTCCCTATTTACTAGCTGTTTATTGAGTGCTTACCATGTCCTAAGTACTCCACAGGTGCCCACTGCCCATTGCTTATGGCTGCTGGCAGGGGGCGTTGGCCTCTGAAAGTCACTCTTGGCTCAGAATGTGATCTTTTGTCTCACACCATCCCTGTGAAGCTCTAGTAGCAATGGGCTATTTTATACAAGGTTTATTGTAAGGTTTTTGAGGGTGTTCTTTGTGGATGGGCACTGTGGGAGAAGGAATGCAGATAGAGTCTGTGAGTAAGGATAGTGTGAAACAAGAAGCAGAGGAAGACTAAGTTCATGGGCATCCCCTGAAGGCCATCCTTTATCTTTTAGCCTCACCTGCCAGCATGGTTTGGAATTGCCTCTTCCTATTTTTTTTAACCATCTCCTGTTTATCATGTTAGCATCTGCCATTTCTGGACCTCCTCTGTAACACATCTCTGCAACACTAATATTTAGAAACTCAAGTATCTCATTTTTAACTAGAGGCAATTTAATGATCTCTGTCTCTCCTTATTCTTAGGGGTGTATTGTCTTTATTTGCCTAACTAAGGACATAATTAAGCTGTCATGGTCCTGAAAAGAGAAATTCTCACCCTTTAGAAGATATTCTGATATCCACAGCATATTTTAAAATACTGATCTTTCCCCTTACTGCATTGGGATTTTGAAGATACCAAGTGTTTTCTAAGCAAATAAAAGAGATATCCAACTATAATCTCCATATCTTTCTTTAATATAATCTCCTAAAAGTTAATCACATTGAAATCATTTAAACATCAATAAGACAAATTTCAAAAAGAATGATAATAGAAAAGTAACTGCACTAATGGTTTGATATAAACACCATTCCAATGATGGAATGAGAAAACAGATATTGAAAGCATCGAAAAGTCCAGAAACTCGATTAAGAAAAAAACATTTAGAAAATGACTACAATATGAAATACCAAGAGAAAAATACAGAGAAATACTTTTGTAACGAGACCAACAAAGGTGTTTCTAACCATGGGGAAATGTGTAACATTCTTAATAAATTTGTTTTTCAAATGCAGGATGTCCCACACAGGAGTAAAGCTCAAAAGCACTATGCTAAGTAAAAGGAGCCAAATGCAAATGTCATGTGTTATATGATTATATTTATACAAACCACCCAGAATAGGCAAATCTAAAGGGACAGCAGTGATTAGTGGTCATCAGAGAAGCAAACAATTGACTAACAATTAGTAGAGTATACAGTGGTGACATTTTCTGGAATAAGTAGCGATGGTGGTCAAGCCGCTTTTAAAAACTTTATTACGCCAGGCATTAGTGGCGCACACCTTTAATCCCAGCACTTGGGAGGCAGAGGCAGGTGGAGCTCTGTGAGTTCAAGGCCAGCCTGGTCTACAGAGCAAGTTCCAGGACAGGCTCCAAAGCTACACAGAGGCCTATGATGGTTTGGTCAAATCCATCCCCAGCTTCCTCTGCTGTAATCCTTCCCATATCCCTACCACCACTCCTCTCCCAGGGAGTGTACGCTTTTTAAAACCCACTTACTGCCGAGTATTCACCGAGTACTGCCAATATCTATGTATATGTAAGGCCATCCATTGGAGCATGAACAACCTATCAGGACTTGAATCCCTGAAGAAAACTGACTGTCCTTTCCCGGAAGTCATCAGTTGCTGGTGTGGGACTTTGTGAGCCCTTCCCTATAAATAGCGCTCTTTGAGTTGGCTTGATCTTGTACCAGTCTTGTGCATGCAGTCACTGCCAGTCTTGTGCATGCAGTCACTGCCACTGTACACTGCATGTGTACAACAGCCTCACTCATTGCATCCTGAAAACATTGTTTTGTGTCAGTCTTCCATTATCTCTGTTTCTTATTATCTCTCTGCCCCCCTCTTCCACAATGATCCCTGAGCCTTGTGAGGAGAGGGTGTGATATAGATTTCCTGTTTAGGACTGAGCACTCCACAATCTCTTATTTGCCTCTCATTGATCAGCTGTGAGTCCCTGTATCAGTCACCAACCACTGCCAACAGAAGATCTCTGATAAGGATTCATGAACTAGTTGTGTACATTATATGCAGGGTTTTATGATACCTCAATTATGTCTCAATTTTTAAAGGATATCAAGGAAAGTTAGTTCTACTTAGGGTGTTTATAAGGAAATGAAAATCTGGCATGCGGGTAAAGAATGATCAAAGAATATAAATTCTGACTTTTTAAGATAAATGACTACTAACTGTATGAAGTACAAATTAAAGCAATGAGATAAAATATTTACCTGGAAGCATGAGAAGAAATTCTAAGTTTCCATTCTTAGGTAGAATGTCGTCTAAATGATTCTTCTATGATACTAGTTCTCAGGAGAAATTGTATAGCTTCTCCAAAGCCTTATATTGTTTCCCTGCATTTTCATTTCTAGGAACTTCTCTTAAATCAGTATTTGCTACTTAAGTAGCTTGTAGTAAAGTCCTGTTGACACAGCAACATGCTTCTGCTGCTAGGGAGAAAAGTCAGAGTGAGAAGTACATAAACTACAACAGACATGTGAAGTACATATGCAAAGCCCAGAAGGATGCACTCTGAGGCCTGAGTGATAGCCTTATATTGGCAGGATAATATAATTCGTGTTTTCTTGATTATGCTTACCTATATTTTCAGTTAACTATGATTTACAAATACTCCATAATAGTATCCTTTATGATAATAAATTATTTCTATATTTTACTTTTAAATGTTGCTTATTTTATTATTTTTGTTTGTTTGACACAAGACCGTGCTATGTAACTCAGGCTAGCCTTGAGTTCTTTCCTCCTTCTGCTTCTGTCTCCTGGGTGCCAGAGTTACAGGTGTGAGCCACCATGCTCAGCTGACAAATTCATTTTGTATCCTGCATTTTCAACTGTGAGAAAGCTTCCTGGTTCTTGTTTTGGTTTAGTGAACCCCTCAGCAGAATAAGATTAGAAAAGACAGTGATCCTTGTTCTTAAGACTAGACCAGTGACTCTCAACCTTCCTCATGCTGTGACCTTTTAATACAGTTCCTCGTGTTGTGATGACCCCAGCCACAGAATTTTTGTTGCTATTTCATAAGTGTAATTTTGCTACTGTTATGAATCATAAATATCTGTGTTTTCTGATGGTCATGGGCGATTCCTGTGAAGGGATTGTTCAACCCCCAAACCCCAGGAGTAACCACCCACAGGTTGAGAACCATTGGACCAGAGTGTCATGAGAGCTATAAAAATCCTTCAAAGCCAGGTTCTCACTCTCTGCCCATAGGGGTTGTCTTCCGAGAGGGTTAATATGGCTTGGGGATTTGGTCAAAGCATCAGTGGCAATTGTATAACATAGGACATTGTAAATTAAGATTTTTCTATTTCAAATACAGATATGTATGTACTACCACACTCACATTCAAATGGTATTCTTCCAATTAGGAATTTATGTCCTTTGATGTAACAGTGTCTTCTCCCATTTTCCTAGACAGAATCATGAATAAACTGGAGGATAAGCAGGACCAGATGATACCATGAAGAGAAGTTTACAGGCCCTCTATTGCCAACTGTTAAGTAAGTTCATGCTGTGTTTATTCTTTACCTGGAATATGCCAAGGTTATCACTTACTGAGCTCCAGGATCTCTGTGGAGGAAGACCAGAGTTGGGTCATTTTCCCTCTACTTCATCTAGATAAGCTACCATGCATCAAGTTGCTCTCACGTCTTAGGCATCCATCATACTGGAGAGCCCATTATAATTCTAGGGCGACTATAAAAATCATTAATTCTAATTGCACATCAAAAAAGGTGAGCGTTCTTTGTTCTATGGTACAATATAAGATGTTGCTTTGTGATCTTGTCTTGATTCCTCATGGGAAAGAACTGGTAGATTGTATTTTCTGGATTTTTGTCACATGGAACCTGATAGGCCTTGGGAACTACACAGCCTTTGGCTTGGAATGTGATGCATAGTTATGCATGCTTCTCAAGCAATGCGTGGAATAAATGTGGTTTCTTGGAGTTGTGGCAGATAAGGAGTCTGGTGTTGCTCATGTGCTTTCGGGTTGTGGCATAAAGAACAGTTAGTGATGGTACTTGGGATGGGAATAGCTACTAAGTTGAATGTGAAGCCCAGTTCAGCCCATGCCTTTGATGCTCTGGACATTCACTTGCCACAACAGATGCTGGCCACTCTGAGTCAGAGTGAAGCCACTGATTTTGAAACCTTGTGCATGGATCTCATTGTGTCTGTCTAGCCTGGTGGGGAGGGAGATGGAAGACAGGTCTTTCCTAAACCAAGCAGGGTCTGACTTTTCTCTGAGAGAATAAAATGAATCAAATGAAAATTATTGAGATGCAAATCACTAGGCAGTCAGCCGGCAGAATTTCTGACCCAGGTTAGATTGTTGTAGCTTGTGCAAAGCTCTTTATCTACACACAGTTTTGGGCCAAGCGTTTTAATTGGCTCATTTCTTCTGTTGAACTCTAATCCTGGAAACTCATAAGGCTTGTTCAGCATTCTGGAAAGTTGCCAGGCTTTAAGGGGACATTCTTCTGTTCTTTTTTCCTGTGTGATCAATGGGACCATAATGTTGTTTGTTGTCCTCTCTCTCTCTCTCTGTCTCTCTCTCTATCTCTCTCTGTCTCTCTCTCTGTCTCTCTCTCTGTCTCTCTCTCTGTCTCTCTCTGTCTCTCTCTGTCTCTCTCTGTCTCTCTCTCTGTCTCTCTCTCTGTCTCTCTCTCTGTCTCTCTCTCTGTCTCTCTCTGTCTCTCTCTCTCTCTGTCTCTCTCTCTGTCTCTCTCTCAGAGGGGGCTTTACAGACAGAATAGGCTATGCCATAAAGAATTATTAAGTCTACTTTGATCTTTGATGGGAAAGGGTATCTATGAAAGATAAATAGTCCCCCCTCCCGGTACACACATATGCTACCTCTCAAAGAAGGGGGGGTAGGCTTCACCATAGGGATATTGGGGCATGGCAAAGCAACACAGCAGATTTGAGAGGTAGAAAAATGTTTGAGGAATCACCTATGCTGAGTGTATGTCCCACGTCTGCATATTACTTAAAGCCATGCATTATCTGAAAGGCATTGAATAAATTATTCTACCATTCAGTGTTAAGCCTAATGCTACACAGTGTCCATTCTTCTAAACTCTAAACTGAGCACTATAAAAGTCAGAGGGGCCAGACATCACCTGGACAGCTATAGGCACCGATGGTCCATGTTTGCGGAAATGCTGAGGGACTGAAATAGCACTGATGAGGGGTAGGTCGTAACCATCACTCAACCTCCCCAGTTATTGACATGTATAATGACTCATATATGTTATTGGCATCCAGTTGTTCAGTGTGGTAGCCTGAATGTAATTGGCCCCCATAATCCTACAGGGAGTGGAAATATTGGGAGATGTGGCTTTGTTGGAGTGGGTGTGGACTTGGAAGAACTGTGTCACTGTGGGGGCCGGCTTTAAGGTTTCCTATACTCAGAATACAGGCCAGTGTATGAGTCGACTTCCTGTTGCCTATAAAGTGCAGGACTCCCAGCTATTCCTCCAATACCACACTTAGCTTTTCCGTAGATTATAGGGATCTAAACCCAGGTCCTCAATGCATCCATGACAAGCACATGCTCCTCATTCTAGCCCAATCTAGAACTTGGATCATACAGGACTCTGTAAGGATTTGTTTTTATGACCATTCTCCATAAAAATCTAAGATATCATTAATGTAAAAATCACTGTTATTTCATGAACCACTAAGAGAAAATACATTGCTTAAGCTTTCGCGTGTCATCAGCTACATCTTGCACTGTAGAAACAGGTGCATGGGTAACATACATAGTTAGTAGCCGGATTGTGGCTAAGTGGGTAACGTAGTCAAGTCTTAGCCACTCAGATCTCCTTTAGGACCGAGCCTCATCAAAGCCGTCTGTAGTCCAGGCTTCCATGGACCAAGCCTCATCAAAGCCATCTGTAGTCCAGGCTTCCATTCTGGTGGGTCCCTGGAAAGCTGGAGAGAGATCAGAGGAACTGGGTTGTCACACACTGAAGTTGGTTCATATCTTCTGTCTCCATGGTTTGTTCCTCCCAACAGGTGAGGGGAAATCCTCCCTGAGACTGAAGAGGGGGACTGATGTAAATTATAACTGACACTATTGACCCTGAATGTTGCCTTTCAGATGTTACAGGCAATCATACAGCTACTGAGGGGAATGCCCAAGGTTGGGGTGATGGGGGCATCACCTCTCGTAGTTTGCAGAAGACTACCTTCTCTTGCCACTGCCTGGTCCCCATGTAGTGTAGCAGTGCTGGATTCTGGATGAAGAATGGATGAGTTCAAATCCTGGCCCTTCTAAATTATTAGGACCAATTTCCAAACAAAACGTAGCAATTTGAACATGCTTCCATGGTTTAACAGCTCCTGGACCATCTCTCCCTTGCTTATGCTTTACCCGCCCAGCAGCTGTGATAACTCTTGACCCTAATTAGTTGCTGCTGTGGGAAAATGTTAGAACTTGGTTTTCTATTTCTTCTTCACTTCATGCTGAATGTTTGCTTGCTTGCTTGCTTGCTTTTTTTCAAATCAAAAATTGGAGGCTGGATGTTTTTCCCTTCATGAAGAGATTTGCAAGCACTCTCTAGGGATCGGACAGGTCTCTGTATCTCTGAAATCATTCACACACATTTGAGGCAGAAATGCTGTCAAATGTTACCCTAGGCATGCATAGCTTTTTAAGGGCTAACATTGGTTTAACCCTTTTATGGCTTTGAATACCTTTCATTATAGGATTAACAGGGAATGTTCACGGGAAGTTGTGCTCACATTTAGAAACCCTATTGGCTCTTATAAATAAATCCAGTTTTCTATATGAAAGACTCTCTTACTAAAATATATGGGAGGAGAAACAGTAGGGTTTGGCTGTAAAGGATATACTCTGAGTTAAATCATGTGTTCTGATCTTTCCCCTAGCCTCTGACCAATAATGTAACTTCACAGAGTGATTTCTCAACTGTGATGCCCAGATGAGAGGATAATGTCTACCTTGATATGTACTCATGAGAGATAAATGAGAAGGGTATAAAAATGTTCCAGTATTATAAAATATCCTTCAAATATGAACTGTTGCATTGTCAGAAATTAGCGATATTTAGTAAATAGGATTTATTTGCTTAGCAATCCTATTTTAAAGAAAGGAGAGAAATAGTCTGTATTACTCTGCCCAGTTGCAACTCACATGGGTCCCCCTCACCCTAAAGTACTGCATTGTGTGTGTATGTGTGTGTGTGTGTGCGTGTGTGCATGCGTGCGTGTAGCCTTGTTCAACAGGACATGTTAAAACTTGGGGTTTTTGTTATTCTGAAAAAGAGAAGGTTAAGCAGGGTTTGTTTTGCCTTTTTTTTTTTTTTTTCTCCAATTTAAAAAGTCATTTTCCCCATCAGTTCATTTGTACTTAATATCAGAGTTTTCAGAGACCTGAGTCACCAGCTTTGTTAATGTGTGGTAAATATTAGAGATTTTTCAGGGCAGAACCCAAAAAGCTTGCAAACCCATTGCCTCTGCAGCCTCTCCATCCAGCTGCTCCCTCCTCTCCTCCCTGCCTCTTCTTGAGTCCTTGTCATTGACAGCCTTTTCCTTGTGGTTGCTCCTGGGTGTGACGGTTTGCCAGCCTCTCCCCTCCTGGGGCTGTTCCTCTGCCACCATAGTCACCCCAGAAGTGGCTCTCAGGTAAATGTGGCTTCGCTCAAGCTGCACCAGAGCACTACCAGGAGCAATGGCTTGGGGCGTTACCCAGATAGCAGAGCAGAATCATTTCCAGGGTACCTGCTGGATGGCAGCCTGCTTTCTTCTTTGCAGTAGAAGGTAAATGAGAGAGGGGAGGGCTAGATGCTCTGAAGTGAAACCCCCAAGGCACAAATATGGTAATGGCCAAGATGCCAGCTGCTCTCCTGAAGATCTCTGAGGCAAGGCCAGCCCTCCACCCTGAGAGAAAACCAGACTAGGGCAGCTTTCCTGAACACATGGAGTCATAGCTAAGCAGTTCTCACACAACAACAACAACAAAAAAAAGTTCTGGGGAGAACGGATGCTCGGATAGTCAGCTCATTTCATTCATATGGTACGGTTATTTTTTCCGTAGGCGTAGGTGTTAAATGATTGAACTAAAAACTAAAATACAGTAACTTGCTTAAATTGGCTAGCTATAGAAATTTCATCCAGAAAAAAAATCCCATATTTCACTTGGTCTGATATTATCGGGATATTCACTTTTCTCATGACAAGTATCATAGAGAGTGATGTGACTCCTGAGGGAGTCCTGTGGGTCAGCTTATTAAAAAGAGGTCCCCAGGAAGAGTCACAGAAGGTGGGGGGGTACAGGAAGACCAGCAAGGGTGGAACATCTGGCTTACAAGCTCTGGTAAGAGACAGCTCCCACTGAGGACTACCTCCCTTATGGAGGCAGAGCTGGAGTCTGTATTCCTGAGTATGCCAGTCATCAATTGAGAAAGACAAGGGCTTGCCAGGCACTGTCCACATAAGCTTGGTGATTTCACATGTTAATGTACATGTCGGA